AATTTTGCAGCAAAATAAGAAAGTAAGACAACAGGGACTCCCAGTCTCAAAAGAAAAAATAATCAGAGGTGAAAAAAGGGCAGTTTCAATGAACCAGATAAAATATTAAGTGGCACTCACGGCCTGAGTCTTTCACAAATGTCAATGTCAGCAGAAAGAATGCAGGAAAACATTACATTCACTGCACGAGAATATTCTTCGTATCTCCTTTATCAAGACACTGATAAACTCCATTTACCTATTTTCCCCATGTACACAGTAACCCTCAAAATAAATATTACTTACCTAGTTTTGCTCTCAAATTTGGGATGCTACCTTGATAATCCTTGCCAACATTTTTAGGTTTCTTTAATGCCGTGAAGAAAGTGTTCTTAATTCCCATAATTTTGAAGAGTTTTATGATCAAAAATAAATCACGGCTATGTACACAGAAACAGGGTCTTGACCTTGTTGCGTGTGGTCTTCCATGCCATTTTCCTCCATTGTAATATCTGAAGTCTTTGCTAACCCAATTGTGCACGTGGATCCTGTTTTCCACAACAATTTCATTAGGGAGGACACTGGAATGAAATTACTTTAAATATAGCCAACTCCCATCTTCAACAGCTGATTATCTCATGTATGAGTTCTCCATTACCATTGATACTCAGTAAGGCCATTCTGGCCATTTCTGTAGTCCGTGGGAAGGGAAGGTACTGAAATCCAAATGATCCAAATTCGGTAATGTGATAAATATACTAGTATACGACGAAGTCCAGAAGAAGAGAGTGGAATCACTGTTTAAACTGGGGCTTTGCATGTCAATTACCCGCTCTATCTGCTGACCTGCCAATACCAGAATCATCAATCACGCCTCTGCCCAAATGAACAGAGGGCTGAGAACACAACAAAACATGCTGTGCCCAAGGAGAGGATACCCCATCATTATTCCACCTCTTTTTGGTTTTATTTGACAAGAGAAGGGGAAGTGAGTGAGACAGGGGAAGCACAGAATAAATACTGTTAGTCACCAGTTTCCCTTGAAAACCTCCCACAATGTTCATAACAAAGCAGGCGCTCATTAAACATTGTTTAAATCAACACCAACAGCCAGAAGATCATGCAAAACATGAAAATGCTTCAGATATTGTCTCTTTATCTAGACCTTCTCATTTAAGCCATTCATTTTTATCCTTGCTCATAAACACCCTGCATTTTCTCTTGAGTTCCCCCTTAAATGTCTTATCTGCTTCTCCATTGAAGTATTAACTCCATGACTTCAGAGCTATATCTCTGTGTCCCACACACAGTTCTCAGGAAAAATGCCTTCAATGAATAATACAAGAATTCCACACGAAGAGCTACATGCTCTCTCATCTACAACTGACTTCCACTTTTTTATTACACAGGCTTCTAACAAACTAGCTCACGATGCAGTAAATTTAATACTCAAGAGGATACAGACTCACACCCTTGATTTTAATGTCTCAGTCAAAACATCACTATATTGGCCATGTCACACTATGAATGTAAGAACTGATCATTGCTGTTACTCAATTCATTTTTACCTTCCTGAGCACAAATGTTAATGCAAGAGCGTTTTGAAACTTGCCAGGAGCTGGAACAAAAGAAAGCAGGGCAGTTTCAATGAACCAGATAAAATATTAAGTGGTGCTCACTGTTTGTGTCTTTCATAGAATGTCTCAATGAACCAGATAAAATATTAAGTGGCACTCACTGTCTTTCAAAGAATGTCAACATCAGTAGAAAGAATGCAGGAAAACAAAATATATTCACTGCAAGATAATAGCCTTCTTATCTCTTTTATGAAGACACTGAGATAAACTCCATTTAGCTATTTTTCCAACATACACACAGTGACCCTCAAGATAAAGGTTACTTATTTATCTAGTTTTGCTCTCAAATTTGGGGTGCCACCTTGACATTATTTGCCAATATTTTTTTTACTTGTGATTGCCTGGCTACATCAGTATTATCTTCTAGTTACTTTTGAGGCTCAGCAAAAGTAGTGTATTCAGAAAGATGCCTCTTAGTAGCATGCTAATCTTATGAAAAGTTTCCCCCAAAAGTCTCTAGAACTGTAATTTTATCTTTAGCTTCTTGAGTACAAGTGACAACATTAAACTACAAAGCTATGTTTGTGTACTGGTAGAGATCCATAAGGGTAACAACTTAAACACTTTATTGTGATGTTTCTGATGAGCAATCCAGCATGGAGAGTCACTATAAAAAGAGCTTCTTTGGTTGTAACAAAACTTGAAAGAACTGTTTTATAAAATGATTGTGCATCTTACACAACATACTACCCACACTGACAGTAGGGATTCAATGGGCTAAAGTGCAAAACAATTATGAGCAAAGCAATGTGACCTGGACACAGTGGGCAGGGAGCAGGCAAACACTCCAGCCTTGCAGCAGCTGCTGGATGGGAGGGTGGGAGGGAGAAAGATCCCATGGCTGCGGGGGTGAGAGAGGGGAGGTGGGGGACACAACACAGGGGAGACCAACTGCTGAACTGAGGTTGACTTGTTAAGCTACACTGTCCTCTCGCTGTCACTGCTTGTTGGTGCTCTATGTGGAAAGACAAAAACAGTGAGTGCCACTTAATATTTTATCTAGTTCATTGAGACTGCCCTGTTGTTGCTTTTTGTCCCAGCTCATAGAAACCTGTGTAAATAAAAATAAAAAAATGTTCACATAAGATACAGGGGTTAGGGAGCAGGCTGAAAGGAAAGTGGATTCAGATGCATGTGGTCTGGGCAGATAGATGTGTAAGAAAAAAGGGTGCTGCACAATTCCCATCAGATCAATAGGTGTTTAGTGCATATTTATTTGCAACCAAATGCTAATATGGCCATTGGGCATTCTTAGCACTGACTGCCATTCCTTGCTAGAGTTTTAGCTTATTTGATGCTCCTAAGACAAAACTCCAACCTTGCATAATTTTTTATTTTAACTCTTTTGATCTGCAAGCATAAACAAATGTCATTTCTGTGTTTCTCCAAAGGAAAGAATTACATAGAATAAAGACCAACTGTTATAACATGCCTTTGAGACCACATGTCAAAGTTGGGAGTCAACTTGCCTTTATAAGACAAATGTGAAAATAGAATATAACGCCATTAATTTTTATCTCTAGATTTTTAAGGATTTCCTCCAACTCCATATGTCAAAAATGATAATATTATCCATGCCTAATTATTCCTAAGACCACATAAACTCATATGCTGCACTATGCTTCCATTTATCTTCATGAGGCTACTGTGTGCCCTATTACGTTGAGGGATAAAGAGCACAATCTTTTGTATTATTGCATAAACAAGTCTTCCCTTCCCTTTACAAGTCACCCCTGTTCTTTACAATGACTTCTTTATTTTTCACAAGTCAACTGTACAATATCTGCTTCGTTTCCCAACTAAAATGAACACATGCAAATTCTCAGTCTCTTTCCCATTAATGTTAACTTAGATAAAGCATCTATGATAGAAATTCCAAATCCACATGCTCACATGTATACAATCTTTAACAAAACTCTGACAGCAGTTGACTTAAAACAAAACAAGTAATATATAAATATATAAAAAACACTAAATGTTTGGCAAAGGCCAAAAGAATCAAAACTACACCCTCCCACAACCACAGCACCACTGTATCCACCCTTCTAACATGTTTGTTCAAACATTACAACCCATCCATTTACTGAAACCACAGCTTATGCCTGATTTAGAAAAGTAAAGTTCACGGACTTACTAAACTACACAACTCCCGACATCAGGCGCAAATGCCTGGTCTACGCCTGGCAGTTACACAGCGTCGGAAATGAAAACCTGCATTTTTAAGCTCAATATCAGCGGACCACTGTCCACCAGCTCCTTGACCCAGTAAACATCTGACATCTTCAAAGAGCATTAACTCGCCCCCCTTGTGCCATAGCTGAACAGACAAGAACAAATGCTTAACACACATGATCCAGGAAGAAGGGCTGTGTTTGATTCTCAGTCCATGGAATATAATTACTGTACATACATAGCTTAGTTTATTCTCTCACATTTCAGCAGTTTTGTTTCCCCAAAGAAGGGACCCAGAGCAGGTCCCTGGAAGAGTCTAGAGAGTTTCTTTTGGCACGGGAAAAATGTGATCAACAGAGAAAACACAATCCCAAGGAATGTCAGGTTCCTTTGTAATAACTTAAATAGTGCTCCCCGACTGGGCTTTGCCACTGCTCCGAATCGAGAAACCATTTTGGAGCCTAACAATCCAGTCTACAGCAAGCATGCTAAGAGGAAGAACTCAAATTCTAAATATAAAATAGGGGTGTGTGAAGAAATACTGAAATGTTTCCTTCTCTTCCCCCCTACTCCCCCCGGGACTGGTATTTCCCCCTTACCTTAAGGGAGGCAAAACATGCTAAACCTGAAAACAGAGATCAACACTGGTCTGAAAAGGAACTTGAAAGAAATCCAAAAACTCCTTTTGGCTAAGCCCTCTGTGAGTTAATTTCCTTGATGTCACCCAACACCTGTTCAATTCAAGTGTTCCTATGATTCATCAGTCTTCTTTAAGAAGATGCTAGGGGGCTATCCATGATTCCCAACGTTTCCTCGGGGCACTGTTTCAGAAAAGAGCTCCACATCCTGACCTCGAAGTGTTATAAGAGCAGAAGATTCCTCCTACGATGGTGGTTTACCATTGAACTTTTCACCACGTCACATGAGCGTGCAGATCTGATGGGGGGGAGGGGGGGCGCCCGCGGGGGAGTGCTGAGGACTGATAACGGCTATTTTATCATTCTCCGAGGGGCACAATCTCAGGCTGAATCTAGCTGGAGGAGCCCGTCTATTTTAGACATGTAAACAATTGAATGACACTGAATTCCAATACAAAAACCACCCAAAACGCCTAATGAGGCCAAAGATCGTGAAGGGACATCAGTGCTAGAAACAAAGAATTCTACATGGCACACTTCAAAAAATGTTTAAATTAACAAAGAATCAAGTCACCTTTCCTGGGCTGGGCTCTGTATATCCAGTTATCATCCGCCTCCACCTGCTGCCCACACACGGAGAGCTCCCCGTCACTGCGAAACAGCCTCTTTGTCTGCCTGGACAGGGAGGAGAAATTTATCCAACTCACAGCACGTGAGAGGGAGCCTGGGTTTGACTTGAGTCTGAAGGAACCTGAAGAGCCTTCCTTTTTCATCTTCTTTCACATCAAAATCCACTCTAGACAAAGGACAGCCCAGCAGACAAAAAGCTTCTTTTTTAAAAATTGGTCCGGGTCCTTTCCATAAGTCTGCTCCTTCCCACTTACTCAGACAACGGTGAGAGTCAGGCACGGACGGCTTTATGCAAAAAGATTGTGTCTCTGTCACTCAATGACAAAGAAAAGGAAAATGAAGGGTTAAAAAAACAATTTTTTTTTTTTTTTTACTCCAGCCACATTGTGCTACTTGGTTCCTAGATCAGTGATAGCCACACACCACAATAAAATTAAAATTAATTAAAAGTAAAAAAATTTAAAAATCAAGCAGGGTGTTCATTTCAGGAACACTTGTCAGGACTTTGGGGAGAACAGAACCAAAGCACTCCGACTCTCTGCTGTGCACCTAGCATCCCAGCCTGTAATCCTACTCCCCTCCCAGGCATCTTTCCTCGCAAGGGCAGAAAGCCAGCCGCCTGTGAACTCCTCGGCTGGAGAAAGAGATTCAGCGTCAACCCAGGCGCCCGGCTTAGAGTTCACCCGCGCAGGTGACTTGGGAGAAGTCGAGTTCTGCTCACTTGTCGCAGCCCAGCGTGCAGAGTCCTGAGCCGCCCACTCGCCCTCTTTCCCAGCCAGGAGCCGCTCAGGATCCACAGGACTCCACAAACAATAAAACGGGCTGCGTGGCTGGTGCTTGGATTACAGAGTAGGCGCTCCTGTGAAAGGCGATAGGCTTTCCCCACACTGAAGGCACCTCATTGGAGCCGGGAAACCCCGCCTCCCCACAGCCAGTACTTCAGAGGCAGCTCAAACTTCTCAACTCCAGCAAAGCTAGGAAATGCAAGTCTGTGCAGAAAACAGACTTCGGGGATAAAAACACAACAACGTGCTTATTATCAGACCACGCTTCTCAGGGTGGGGTTTTGAGAAGGGGTTTTAAAAGAGTATATAGTGATATACACATCCAGCCTTCCTAGGTGGATGTAGGAATGTCATTATCTAAGGAAACGTGCTTCCAAAGAGAATAAACCTGACGCAGCTATCACTTCACTCCCGGCTGTCAGCAAGGTGAAGTGCAGCCATTCTTGCACCTGTCATGGTCTCTCCTCTCTTCCCGGGGCAGCCAGTGTGGGGCTGAGGACCCTCTTCTGCTTGCCCCCTGGCAGCCCACACCCCCAGGGCCATTCCTCACTAGCTCTGAATGACCTTCTTCCCGGGGAGAACCATCACCTGAGAGCCATGCTAGCAGCAATTACCTGCAAGCTCCAGTCCCCAGACCCCTATGTAAAACTTTAATGTGACATGCAAAATACCTACAGCCACAGGCTGGAAAGCATTTCATCAAGGCCAACATAATTCCACAATTCCCAGGAGTGGTAAGAGTCCCTGCAACTTTCCATCATAAATTGGCATCCCCTCTCCAAAATGCTATTCAGAGTAAGGCTAATGAGCAGCAGGTTGAGAACTGGGTCCATCTCACTTTCCTTTACTCAGAATTGAGCACATATCTTAAAACTAACAAACTGCAATAGAAAAGAAACTGTGATTAAAAGCAGGATTTTTAATTTATATTAAATATATTTTATGTATTAAAAGTCTTTTATATATAAAAGTCATTTATCTACAATTAATTGAGGTTTTAAAAAAAGTGCTCTCTACCAGCTTACCAGGGTTGGAACATTGGTAGGAAAACACGGAGTGTTCCTGGGATGGAGCTCACACCACCACGGGAACCTCGACAGAGGACAGGCACTGGACTGAAGGGTGAAGCCACAGCAGTTCAGGTGATGCAGATAGGGCCTCAATTTAGAAGTTAAAAGGGTCCTTAAGAGATCATGCTGTTTAACCCCTCCATTTACAGGTGGGGAAATTCAGGCCCGGAAAGGTAAGTGACAACCCAATGTCACAGAGAGGAGTCAGTAACGGAACCAGGTCATGTCAGACACCACCGGGCTGAAAGCTTCACCACTTACCAGGGACGCTAGCTGCATCACCAAGCACTCTGGATGTGCTTCCACTAGTAAACTGGAATGATATCTCGACTTTGGTCACTAGTACAATGGCAAAATGGTATAAATGATGCACAGCACCAGTGGCTAACATCGAAGTTCAAACACCCAGTGTTCTTTCTGTGTCAAGAACTGACATGGAACTTTTGAGAATCAAAATATAAAAAGGAAAAAAAAAAGAACCATCATGCTAGAAAATACGTAAACATCTCAAACGCTGCTTACCATTTCAGAGATTCATGACACCCATTCCGTAAGGATCCATGGACCCCAAACAAGAAACTCAACTGTCTCCTCCTTGATGTCTCCATTTTTAATAGAGAAATACCTAAGCTCTGAAATAAACCTTGTGCTGCTCTTTACATACGGTGAGTGCTGTGGAATGTTTTGCCCAGGTCAGGCTCCTCGGAGTGCGCCCACAAGCACACACAATGGCATTCAGTGGTTCTCAACCTTCCTAAGGCCGCGACCCTTTAATACAGTTCCTCATGTTGTGGTGACCCCCAACCATAAAATTATTTTCGTTGCTACTTCATAACTGTAATTTTGCTACTGTTATGAATCGTAATGTAAATATCTGATATGCTATATGTGTTTTCCGATGGTCGTGACCCACAGTTGAGAACTGCCATAGATGAATGGATGTCATTAGTACCTGGTGTGCTTTCCTCCAGTACCACCTATTCCTACACACATCTGGGAAGGAACTGAGGGAAGGGGCTAGGGGAACAGGTACTGCCAAGCAACCAAGAAGGACACCTGTCAGTTCAGGGACTAGACTCCTGACTCTCCTTCAAAGTAAGTACACACTTAGGCTGACTTCCCAACAACCTTAACAGGTTTCCTATTACTCACGAGACCTATGGGTACATTTGCACAGTAACGAGCTCATCCATGTTTCTGTTCTGTCAGGCCATGATTATTAATATCTTTGTTTAAGGTAAAAGAAGGTCAGATAAACTAACTACTGTTACAACGGGATCCGAGTTCCTATGTGACAGGATAGAACATAATGGTTTAAATCAGCTTTGGAGGAAACACTGAGATTCTAACTATCCATGTTAGATATATATTGCAATTAGCTTAGAAAACCGTACCAGTAAGTGGGCCGCGTGAAAAGCTATTACATTCATTCAAACTATAATTATTTGGCAACTAAGATGAACCACACATTTTAATTACCTGGACTATCAATCCAATGGCCCTGCACATCCACCCCTCCCAGCACAGGGTCGTGGCTACTTGTGCTGCGCACTTCCTGTACATTACTGCCCGTGTTCCCAATCACCCTGCAGTGGGAAATCCTGATTTTTACAATGTAATCTGTCTTTTTCAAATAGCTTCAGCTGTATTCTTCAATGCGATGAAAGATCTTAATTTAACCATTTTCCCCATGAAAATCTACACTAGAGAACACGCTTCCTAGACCTTTGAAACAGGCGTGCTGAACAGGTTTTTACCCCATCCCTCACTGTGCAGTGCGTTCCCACCTCCCCACGCACTGTCAGGCTGTCAAACAGACACTTCTGTTGTCATCGTCTGTGCCAATAACCACTCCCTTCCGACCACGTGCCACCTCGGAGCTGCAGGCATGGGAAGTCAGATCATCCTACTTACACTGCACAAGCAGTGGGAGTGGAGGAGGGCTCACAGAATGAAATACATGCCTTTCGCAGCAGGGCCTTGTCGCAGCTGCCTCCTGGCCAGCACCCTTGTCCTTGCACTTACGGGATGGAAGCCCAAGGGGTGAAGTGGCTGGGGGGTCTACACCAGGTGTATGATTAAGTTCTTAGCCCTTGAGGGTGGTGAGAAGCTTACCACTGATGACTAACAAAAGGATAAGAAATGGCCCTATATTATTTCAGGAATGATTTCAGTAACACACTAAAGAAAGTTAACTATAAGAACGGGAGGCACCAGAATATATTACTAAGGGAAGTTAGAGAGTCACCTTCTTTGGGAATTAATGAGTCAAATGCCCATTAATTTGGAAAAATTTATTTATGATGCTACCAAGAGTCACAGGGACAGACTGAATACATTTGGAAGGTCCTCGCCAAAAGATACAATATTTAATGTTTTAATATATACCCATCCTTAAAAAAAGGCGTTTAGCTCAAATGGAAGTTTTTTATTTAATAAAAATTGTTAAACATGACAGGGACAGGATTAGACAAACCCCTCAGCCCACTCAGGCATGGAACTGGTCCACCTGCCATCTGTGTAAAATGCCAGCCAGGAGTGGGAACTAATTTCAAGTGCCATCAGCTTTTTGGCCTCACAGGCCACAAATGAACACTGTGACTTTTAATTTCCTTGTGTGCCTTTTCTGCCCTGACCCTCCCCTTCAAATCTGGAAGGAGGAAGAGGAGAAACAAAACCCTGAAGTCAGAAGCCAACAGAGAACAGGGCTAACACAGATAAGAATTGGTGGGGTTGGCTGGTGTGGCTGGAGGTAGGGCCCACAGACAGAACACTTATGAACAGAGACAAAACTGGGGGAAAAAACATATAGAGGAGTGAGGAGTGCTACTCTAAATTGTGTCCTGTTCTCAGGCAGCCAGACCGGGCAGGGGCAGTGAAGTGTGCACCCTATCAGATTACCACATGAATCACCCAGACGACCCACTGGGACCTTTAGCTACTAGGACAGGGTACAGTAGGTTGTCCAACTGTCATCTCTTATGCATAATTTAAGAGCAGACTTAAATGGAAATCTTTCTCTGGGGTAATTTGTACGCATTATTTGTAACTAAAAAAGAGAAAAAGAAAATATTAACCTCAGGGCCAAGCAAACCATCTCCTACAGTACACTAAATCCTCCTTCCCCACCCACCTCCTAGCCCCTACGGAACTAAAGAGCCGATGAACTGGAGAAAGAAGTCACGGAAGACAAAGCACAGCCTCTTGCCTGTTCAGAGAAGGGCCTATTTTCAGGGTCTCCTCACCTACCACTGTTTCAATATTAAAAAGAAAACACTGCCTTTTCACTAAGCTCTAGCTTTAAGAATCAGAAGATGCCCCTTTCCATGGAATTAATAGGGTTGGTTCCCTAAATGGGAAGATTAAATTTGTACTTATGGAGGATCACAGCTTAAGTTCCACCTTTCAGTGGCCTCAAGCCTGACAAGGACCCTGCACAGATCTGGCACTCTGAGCCTTAGCCCCATGGTTCCCATGGGATCACTTGATACGGGAGCAATATGGCGGGCACTCCTGCTCTCCATCCCCTGGGGCGGGCGCTCTGCAGGGGGCTGAAGTCACCCGGGACAGAGCCATCACCGACAGATGCCTTGGACGGCAGAGGCGTACTGAGCATCAATAACCAAACATCCAAACTGTCCCAACCTCAATGAAAATGTCCCCATCCAAAGGGTTCAGTTGAGGAAGTCCCCTAAACCTGATATAAGAAGACCAAAACGAACTCACTCTCAAACTGAAATAAAATGCCAAATTAAAAAAATATTTTAATCATGATCTCCTTTGTACTTGGTACCTCTCCCATGGCCTCTCCAGTGAACCTTATAATTATTTTTTTTTCTTCTTTACTCAACCAGTCCTTTGCAAACTTTGTTATGCACATAAATCATAGATCTTATAAAACGTAGAGTCTGACTCAGGTCAGTGGCAGGGCCTGAAATTCCGAAGTCCT